AGTGCACAGGGAGAAAATAACAACATCCTGGAGTTCTACAAAGAATAACCTTTTGTTGATAAAAGATGGCAAATGTTTGAACGTTCACGGGTGTGCATATCACAACTCAAAGAGGATATGCATGCATGATTCAAACACACATATTTATCTGAAGTACTAATGCTTTCTATTAGCCTTCAAAGGCAGACTTACGTGTGCCCACAAATGGCAACCCAGCAGGCAGTGACATCAGTCCTAGAAATGATGTGGCCTGTATAGTGTGCAGTGAAATGCAGTGCTCTACTTGTTTGCAATGGTTTTATTTTTCGACTAGTTTTTATCACACTTGGCATGAACAAGGGAACATGTGCTTTGCTAAATTTGAACTTTTAAGATGAAACTGAATTAACTGAGAACCAAAAAATTGCTTCTGAATTTTCCTAAGATTGAAAAATGCCTTCCCTCTCATACTAGGAATGGCAAAATAAATGACAAATACATCTTGAAAGTTTAAATGTGAGCTAGGAAGACCCTGTGGTTTGAGAACAACATTGTTGGCTTTTTTCTTTTTTTAGACACCTGAAATAAGACTGTAATGTAAAGGCTTTTTCCCACACAGTACCTTTTTGCTAACATGAAGACATGTATGAAATCTAAAGCTAAAGAAACCTAATATAAGCACTTAACCTAATATAAGCACGATTTGCTTTCTTTGTCAACCAAAAAGTTTAATTAATTTGCCATTTCTTAAAACTTAGTAACCATCAAAATATAGAGTCAACTCTTGCTCCAAAATTTAAACTTATATTCTTTCTTTTTTCTGCTAGTGTTGGAACAAAATAACTATATTGACTAAAACAACCAGACACATATCCCTAGAGACACCCTCTCCTCCTAAATTCCCTCTTCCTTCTCATAAAAGGCATGCCAGGGTACCCAAGTATAAATACTTTGTATATAAAATGAGTGCCCTGTCATGCTGATATTTTTAAGGATTTGAATTCAAAATAATTTTAATACACAATTCAAGTTCTAAATTGCAGGATATGTTTATAAGGAATCTAGTGATAAGTAATAGGTCAAACAACCTGTAAGAATCAGCTTATAGTACAAGCCTCATTGCATTAATAATGTCACAGTTAGTATGTTTATTAAATTAAATATTACCAGCAAGGGTCTTCTAAATGCCATGTTCCTAATACTAGATTACATATTTATTTCAGAGTTAGCATAGTAAGAGGGGGAGCTATCACTAGAAGGTCTATTAAGCCATGTGTTTTCTTTCATTGCTTTAATAGAACTATTCAAATCAAATTTTTCACGCCATGCCTTGAACACCACTGCAAACCATACTGTGGATGTAAAATACACGCAAGGAAGATATAATCAGCTCAGATGAGACCAGTGACTTGTACACCATCAAGTTTACTTTATTGTGAAAGCAATGGGGTTTTCTTTCAAGTGAATGTATTTTTTAATGTGTGTGGCAACCTAACATAGAAACTGAGGACGGGAACCAGGAAAACACACAAATCTCAGAGCAACTGAATTAAACCAAATATAACGCAATGCCTTAAATTTTGCCTAGTCTTCTCTGACTCTTATTTTGTTCTGGTAAAAGAAAACCCGACTGTCCAAAAGTAAATCTCGTTGCACTCAGACTATAATTTCAATAAATCACATACATTCAACTTCCTTAAAAAGTATCAGTTACTTTTTTAAAAACTGATTTTACTGATATTAGGCTAAAATATTACTCTTTTAAACATCAAAATTAGCCAAGCAATCACCAACATACCAGGGTCAATTAAATATGTTTAAAATTGATCACTACCTTTAAAGTTGCTGACTACTTCATAAGTACATTTGTCTAAAAATAATAATTGTTGCTGTTTCTTTCCCGGGAGTCTACATAGGTTTGTTTTCATACAAGAGCATGGGTTCTACGTTTTTTCCCTCGTCTCATGGCCAAAATGCCTATATGACAAAGTAACTCAAAAACACACACAAAAGGTGCTGCACCAGATAGGACAGGCTGAACATCTTATAAAAATCACTTATGAACACATATGTTGTCCAAATACCTATGAAGCATTTTAAACTCTGGGAATAGAAACGGTCTCTGTTCAACGAAGCTTTTGTTCCAAACCTGCAGCTTAAGCAGAAAGCAGAGCATCCTTTAAAGCTTCAGTGCTAAAAATATAAATACTCAATATCACCCCCAAAAAAGGTGGGTCACAAAGAGTTGTAGCAGTGATATTTATATGAAAATGTTAACTGCAGGAGATAAGAGGTTCAGAAAGTTATCTATAGACCCTAAATTGTTACAATTTAAAAGCTCCAGTGATGTAAGTCGGTCCTAAAAAGATAGAAACAACCTGATTTTTGAAACAAACTGTTAAGTAAGTTTCTGGTAGTCCGAAAACAGAAGTCCACGCCCTAAATCCTATGCGGCTGCCAGGCCTGGCTCTGAAAGAGCAGCGGAGAGAGGCTGCGCGCTTAGGCCAGGGCCCAGGCCGCGGCCCTTCTCAACCCATGCTGCGGTCGAGGCTACTCAGAGAACTGCCTGGACCCGGGCTGAGACCCGCGGCCTGAGTTAGGCCTGGACTTCCAGTCTCGCCCCACAGCCTGCTTCTCGGCCTGGACCTCTGACCTGGATCCCTGACTGGGACAGCCCTGGACGCCGCTGCCCGCCCGACGGCAAAGCAGGAAAGCCCCGGCCCAGGCCTCAGGAGCCACCCCGCACCCGGGCGAGCTCCCCGGACGCCCGTCCCCGCCGCTCTGGGCTCGGGTGCACCAGGGCCAAGCTGCAACCTCGCCTGCGGGGGCAAGACCAGCCTGCCTCCCACCGCCGCAGCGCGCTTTGTTCCCGCCTCTGTCTACCCCGACGGGCGGCGTCCAACCAGAAGGTTGAGAACCCAGGCCGCAGCATCTCCTGGCCCGAGCAACACCCGCCGCCGGCACGCTCAGCCCCGAGGGACATTGAAAATTAGTTAAGATGGCGCGGATTGCGAGTGGCGGGAAGGCACGAGCCAGAATACAGTGCTAGCCGCACGCTCGTCGTCTTTCTACCTCTTTTTGAAAATACACTGTTAAAAACTGAGGAAATCTGGGTTTACGGAAAGGAATCGTCGTTCCTCTCAGGCTGTCTCAGGAGAGAAAAGGCAACTCTAACAGGGGACGCGAACTTTGATTCCCAAAGGGCCTCCCAAATCTAGACTTTGATTTCCTTGGAACAGCAGCAGCCTCTCAGACGCACGGACAGTGTCATTTCACCAGACACCCAAGACTTTTTGGAAGCGAGGAGAAATGATCATGTTTCAAAGGGACAAGAAATCACAATGCCTCCGAGAGGAGCGCGAAGCTGCAAATTTACCTCACGCTGACTCAGTCCACACAGCAGATGGTGGCAGAGCTGCAAGGGAAACGACCTCCCCAATTTTTTAAAAATACTTCCTAATATCAACCAAAGCGCGTCTTTCAGAACAAGGCACTACGTTCCTGTGAAATCTATCCTCGGCTCCTAAGAGCTTCGTTTACGCACATGACACCGGCTCTTTTGCTCACGGTGATTGTCCAGAGGGCGGCGGGCAGGGCCGGGCAGCGCCGGGTTTCCGGGCTCCTGGGCTCCCGCGCTCCAGCGCTCCCGCGACCCGGCCTGGGCGGAGAGGGCGGCCCCCGCGGCCCCGCGGCCTAGAGCCCCGGCACCCCCCTGGCTCCGCAGCCCTGCGCCCCACCGACCGCACGTGCTCCTCCTCCTCGGCAGGAGTGGGCGGCGGGGTCCGAGGAGCGCAGCCGGGGTCGAGTGGGTGATGACACAAATGCACTGCTCCACTTCAGTCGCCACACATGCACCGTGTCTTGTACTTTTGTCCTCTTACTTAGTTCTTAGATGTGAGGAGGGAAAAGAAACACAAAGGAAATTCAGTCCTTGCTTTTCTATGTGGCAGACAAAACTCCACGGAACGCCGTCTAGTGGTGGAATTGTCCAGGGAAGGCAAGTTAGTTTTATCCTCCCACGAATTTTCATTTTAATTAGAAATTTGAGGCCTCTTTACATCCGTCAAACTGCAGAGAGGACACAGGACAATGTCTAGGTAAAGGTAAATTTAGTCCTGTAACCTGAGGCTGGCCCAGACTAAGCAAGAATGTCTAACCATTTTCCACCTCTTGCCTGGATCACCTTTCTTTGGAGACAAAAGTACAAAAGTCTCTTCTCCACGAGGTAAACAGTTCTGCGGGCTCCACTAAGACGCAGAGCCCTCCAGGTTGGAATTTCGCATTTCTGCATTTGTTCCCCAGGTGTGGATCTGGCCTGGATAGGACTGGCATAAGATTCCACTACAGAAGGGACAGAGCAGTGCCCCTACCCCCACCCCAGATACCTCCCAGAAGCAGTTCTAAGCTCAGTGGTTAAAAAACGGCCCTTTCGCGAGTTTGTTCTACGGGTCTTTCGCCACCCTACCCCTGCCCAATCTTCGGAAACCATCCACTCGAGAAACGTAGGCTGTTCTGTGTCTGCGTTTACAGATTCGCCACTCACCTCCAAGGCCTCGTATGTACAACCAGAATTTACTAAATCTGCGGTCAACATCCTATTCTGACATGCATTTAAATTACACCCTACTTTCAGCCAACGCCTCCCGCCTTACTCTGTGAAATTTAAAGAAATTCTTAACTCCTTATTTAAAGAACCTCCTTTTCCTGTTCGCATTACTTCCAACTTCAGAGAGAATCAGATAAATATGATGAGAAAAGTGCATATGTTTTCCTGAAAAAAGAAAATGAGCACAGAAAAGTGAAATTTGGCTCATAGGTAGCCAAATAATTATAAATAAGAAGAAAAAAGTAGTTCCTGGAAGTACTATAAAACAAATTTAAGGGGGGAATGGGAGGTGGCTTCCATTACACAGGCTGCCCATATTGGAGTGGGGACGGGCTAGTCTTCCTTAACCCTTAAATATCATCACCTATGATAATTAAATTATTTTCAAACTGTAAACTGCTTTCAAACACCATAGTTAGTGTTTTTACCAGGTTTATTTTACTTGTTATACACAGACGATACAAACGAGCAAAAAACAAAACGTTTCTCAATGGAGTGTGTTCTTGTATAAATTATTCAGTTCACAGACAAAACGAAACAAATATAAAAATCACAACATTAGATTTACAGAAGAGCCAAAATATACACACGTTTAGACCCTGAATTCCTATTAGGAAAAAATCCCCCCATGGACTGGAATCTAGATTGAATATTGTGTATGATGCATATTTCACATTAATTTTTAAATACAAAAAAGTATAGGTTTGCTACACAACATTAGAAATCCTACTAATCTATTTCCAGGGGGATTAATGCTCCTTATCAAATATAACAAGACTTAGGGGAAGATCAGTCTTACTTGCATTAATGCTAGTGTTCTCCCAAGGAAGTCAAATTTCAGCTGTTTCTAGGTGGTGGGGAAGTCATTTTCAAAACTAAAATGCAGTAAAATATACAACTCACACAATTCATCTTCACTAGACTACACTATAGTTACCAACAATTCAGTCATCTATATCATTAATAGAGTATTCATTACAAAGATTTACAGCATATAAAGGTGGAGGGGGTACTGAAAGATATTCAGAAACAGTTTGTCAGCATATTTGGCACCTGCACAGACCAGTAATGGATTTGGCACTTTGGGGAAAAACAAATAAGGCAAAATAATATTGCTGATGTCGAGCTATTCTATTTAGAAGGAAGGGGGGGAACATACAACTCCAGTTGACTTTGCTTTGCAGGCATCATGCCACTTAATCGACTTGCCTATGAACAGACACCTATCCTTTAAAGGTGTTTGGGTGGATTCTCCTTAGCTATTTGTGTGCATTAGGGCACATAGTAATTATTTCATGCAACGGATTGAGGAGAAGTGGGAAACCCATCACTGTTGAGTATTTCATGTTTCTAGAGCCTCTCAGAATATTATCTCACAAGAAAATTAAAAGAGAGAGAGAAGAGAAAGTATGAGAGAGGAGAGAAAGAAAAGCAAAGAAAGAAAAGGAAATAAAGGTTAAGCATGAACTGGTTTTGTGCCTTGACGAGAATAAAAACTAGCCATTCGTTACAATAAATTAACACTATGTACAATCATTTCACAGGCTTTGTTCCACTAAAATTATTAACATCCCTACCATCCATCCATCCATCCATCCACTCGGGGATAAGAAAGGACGCGCTGGGTGGGTCCAGGTTCTAGAGTCAACATCCTATGGTTAATGTGGAGGCCGAGACTTGGCGGGTCGGAATCGCTGCTGCCTGACAGGACTGCCCAGGTCTCCTAAAGGTGAAGAGTTTCATTACAAGAAAGAGAAGTAGGAGGTAAGAGAAAGACGAGGGGGAAGAGGATTGTAGGAGGATAACTCCACAGAAGGAGAGTAAGTAGGAAAACCAAAAGGTTTACAGCAAAGTTGAAGGTCGGTGCGCTAATTGCAGAGACTGCTGTGCAAAAAAAGGTTAAAATCACGCTCGGAGACCTGCACTTATTCGCTGCAGACGGCCATCGAGGGTCAAATAAAATGAGGGGGTGCGCAAGGAGGAGTATGGGGTGGCGGAGCTGGGGAAGAGCTGTGAGGGGCTGGCTGGGGGTCCGGGCCGCGGCGGGGCCGGGGCGGGCAGGGACGGCCTAGCTGTGCGAGTAGAAGCCATAGTAGCCGCTAATGTCCTTGGCGCAGTTCTTCTCGCAGTCCCGCTGGGCCAGCACCTCGCTCTTGAGCGGGGACGAGCTCTCGGACACGGGCGTGTCGGCTGGCGAGATCCGCCTCCGCTTGGCCTGCTCGTAAATCCCCGAGTCGCTCGAGTCGATGGACTTGATCGAGGAGGGCGTCTCGATCCAGCTGGAATCGGACAGGTCCTTGGGCTTGGCGTCCTCGGCGGCGC